CCTCGCCTCTCGCCGCCCCGGGTGCGCGCACGGGGCACGCGCGTCCCGCGCCGCCGGCGGCCGCGCGCGGTCCCGCGGGAGGGGAAGGGGCGGGGGCGGAGGGGAGGGGCCCCCGCGCGGGCCCGCCCCGGAGCGCGCCGCGCACGCGCGGGAGGGGCCGCGGCAGCGGGGGGAAGCCCCTCGTGTCGCGGGGGTCTCGTCGGTCCCGGGGGTCCTGTCCCGGTGCTCCCCCTGGGAAGCCGCCCCGTCGTCGCCCTCCGCCCGCCCGGCCGCGTCTGCGTGGGTGGTGGTGCCACCGCTTCGCCGGTGCCGGGGGGAGCCCCCTGAGGAGCCCCTCGCGGCCCCCACAGCGCCCGGTTCGCTCTCTTCCCCGAGTGGCGTTTCTGGGTGTCACTGGGCTTTCCTTATCCAGGGTGACTTAGTCATTTCTTTTTGAGGTGTTTTTCCAAAGTGACTTGAATAATGGTGCTAGTTTTGGCTGCCCCGTTGATAACGGCCCTATTTTTAGCTTACCTGGTTAGAAACACGGTTGGAAAAGCCCTCTGAGTTCATCAAGTGCAACCTTTGCCTGAACAGCACCGTGCCCACTAAACCACAGCACTGAGTGCCATGTCCGCTTGTATTTGTGCCTCCACGCTTCCCTGAGCAGCCTGTCCCAAGCTTGCCCACTCTTTCAGTGAAGAAACTCTTCCTAATAGCCAGCCTAAAGCTCCCCTGGCACAGCTTGAGGCCATCTCCCCTTACCCTGTCGCTGGTTGCCTGGGCAAAGAGACTGATCGTCACCCTGCTACAACCTCCTGTCAGGTAGTTGTAGAGAGCAATTGGGTGTCCCCTGAACCTCCTTTTCTCCAGGCTAAACAACCCCAGCTCCCTCAGTCACTCCTCATCAGACTTTAGCTCCAGAACCGCCACAGGCTTCATTACCCTTCCCTGAACTCAGCAATGTCCTTCTTGTAGTGGGCAGGTGAATGGAAGGTTAAATCTGAACTCAATGGAAGGAGTTTCTGAGGAAAATGGATGTTAAAGAAACCTCCCGCTTCCTTGCAAGTTTGTTGCTCCTTGGAGTCTTTAGTGTTCTTAGGAGGAAAGCTAAGGCTTATTGTGGAGTTTTTCTGGGGCATGTAGGGACTGTGGGTTGTGCTAGCAGAGAACTGACAGGCAGGGCCTTTTCTGTTAGACTCTCTGCAGGCTTTCTTCATTTGTTATTGCCCTTCCTTATTCACAGCCAGAAGAGTTTGCAAACTTGCAACTTGGAGTCTGAGAAACTGTCTGTGTGCTTTCTATTACATTCATCAATAAATAACCTGACTAAGGGTAATAAACTTACTTTCAGGAACTCCTGTTTAGGTCCATGAACAATTTTGATGATTTCCTTAATGGGTAAAAAGGCAGTAGCCTTTCCAATCACTGGAAGTGGTGGGTGCTGAAGATCCAGAAGGCATAATGAGCAGTCAGGTTTTAGACAAGCATGTCAGTAGACTTGACTGATCATACAAAAAAGTGGAAGGCCACAGAACAAAAAGCAACTGGGTTTAAGTGATTTTGGGCGTAGAGCTCATTTTGCCTTTTCAGATCAGCAAAACCTGCACTGTAGCAAGGATTTCCTGAAGTTGGGAAACAAGCAGTGTAAAAGAGAATCTCTGTTTCAGATGAGCTGAAAGGTGTATTTCCAGTCTTTTCTGTTCACAGATAGCCCTGGAAATGTAAACTGATGCAAACAGGATCACCAGGATTAGAAGCTGTTCACAGACTCCTCCTAAAACAGAACTGCTATTCACAGTTCTCTAAGCAAGCACTTAGAGATGGCTTTGGGGGATCATGAAATGTTGCCATATGTCCCCTGTGTGTTGGGGGAAGATCCCAGAGTGAACTCTAGGGAGTATGAGCATTCAAATCCCACACACTTATGATTTTATTGGAAAAGTTTAGGGGGAACCTTCCT